AGCCATCACATTGCGGTGAATGTACAATTAGCTCCATTCGCTCGTTAAACATTTCAATTGGATTAGCTATTATTTTACAATTATAATTCCAGATGTCCTCCTCTTTAGAGGACAGCGAACTGGCGAGACTGGAGAAGGAACTCCTCGACGGGCCCTCGGACTCCAAGGAAAACGAAGTGGAGAACACGAGGAAAAGAAGAAAGGACTCCACCTCTTCGGAATCGTCTTGTTACAGCTCGTCAAGTTCTACCTCGACATCGTCGTATTCGGAGGACAACTCGGACGGCAACAACCCGCGCCACCGGAAGGAGGAATCGCGGAAAAAAGGATTCAGCACCGAATCTCCTTTGGAAGCCATCCGTATTCCCAGAAGAATCGACTTCGCAGGCGCAGTCAAGGAAGCGCCAGAAATCGCCCGAATGGAGTACAAGAAGCTCCGGACAAGAGTCGAAATCGACCAAAAACTTCTGGATCACTTCAACAAGTGTGCAGCAGGGGTCTACGTAGGCACCGAGGATAGATTGAGCTTCTTCGACCGCCTTCCTCTGGTATCGTCGGGTTTGGCAGCTCCCCCGGTTTTGGATGAAGGCTTACCAAGAAAATCATTCAGGTGAGGTTTTATCCAGACTTCTCTTCACCACAATGAAGGTCAATGAACTCAATTGCTTCAGAATTCAAGTCGATGAATCTTCGCTGATGGCGGACGCTGAAGTGCTGCTAAACGCCCTCAATCTAATGGCTATTGCTCGGAGCGAGAGTCGGGCGGGTCGCTCCCAACGCGCAGATCTTTACATAGAGCAAGCCATGGAAGTGCTCTCCTTTGGTGTCGAAGCGAATGTGACACGAAGAAGAGAAAGATTCCTAAGGTAAGTCATCAGGGCTCATGACCTTACTCATTCACAATCGCTCATTCCCACCTTACCATATTTCAGGTCATTCGGAGTCGAGCCGTTGAAAATAGTGCACAATTTTCACCGATTTCCAGTCGAGGAGCCTATTCGCTCAGCAGATCTTCCTTGGAACGAAGTCTGTCCGGCGCTCATAGGCCCCAAACTCACGACTGAAATAGTGGAGAAGTCCCAATGCAGAAAGCTCACGGAAGCCCTGGTGAAGGAAGCAAAGTCCAAGAGGACGCACAGCAATGGAAAAAGGATGAAGACGTTTTCATCAAAAAAAGAGAGGTTAGAAAATCATTTTGCTATTCACGTAAGTGAGCAGGATGTTCCCCATAACGAACTTCAAGTTCGGGCAGGCAGACTGGCGCTTTTCCAAAAAAATTGGGCACGTCTCACCAGAGACCCATGGGTTTTAGAAACAATACAGGGGTACAAGCTCGAGTTTGGCGATGAGAAACCCCGATGCTCCTTGCATGAAAAGAGATCTGCCTCGCTTTCTGACCTTCTCATTGCTGAAGTCTCAAAACTGCTAGAGAAAGGGGCCGTTGAAGAAATACCCTGGTCTTCAAAAGTTTGGACCTCCAGTATATTCGTTATTCCCAAAAAGGATGGCGGAAATAGAACCGTAATCAATCTGAGACCACTTAACAAATTCATAAAACACCACCATTTCAAACTGGAATCCATTGGCTTGATCAGGGATCTTCTAGAGAGAAATGATTTCATGGCAAAGATCGACATGAAAGACGCTTATTTCTCTGTGCCTATACATAGCAACTACCGCAAATACTTGGCCTTTTACTGCGGCGGAAAACTCTTCCAGTTCAAGGCACTACCCTTTGGATTATCCTCAGCTCCATATGTCTACACTAGATTAATGAGGGTTATCGCTTCAGAACTGCGAAGATGTGGGATACGGTTGATTGTGTACCTGGATGATTGGCTATTCATTGATAATGAAAAGGCCTCTCTGGTAGCAAAAATCAACCTGATTATACATCTTTTCAAAAAACTAGGTCTAACCGTAAACGAGAGCAAATCGCAGCTAGAACCGTCGCAAATAATAGAGTTTCTGGGTGTGACTATCAACTCAAAGACCTTTGAGCTATCAGTCCCAGAGCGCAAGATAACAAGTATTTGCAATACTGCCCGAAGGATTCGAAAACGTCGAAGAGTCACCCTACGCGATATAGCTCGATTCATTGGACAGGTGAACGCAGTCAACATGGCAGCAAGCATTCCTATCCTGTTCCTGCGACCGCTTCAGTCTTGGCTAGGAAGGTTCCATCTAAAGGATGCGAATGATTACCAAAAAACTATGAGCAACCTCCCACCAGCTTGCCTTCACGACCTCAAGTGGTTGTCAAGGAATCTGGATAAGATGGCTCATGAACCTATTTTGCACAAAAACGAGTCGCTCACCATCACAACGGACGCATCAAACGTTGGGTGGGGCGCAATATGCGAAAAGGGAAGCACAAGTGGGAGATGGAAACCTTCCGAGTCAGAGTGGCACATAAATGAAAAAGAATTGACGGCGTGCATACTGGGATTACGCTGTTTTGCAGATGAACTGCGTAATCTCACAATTCGCGTACAATTAGACAATACCACGGCGGTCTGGTACATAAATAAGAAGGGAGGCACTAAAAGCGCACGTTTAAACAAACTTACACGACTGTTGTGGTTATGGGCTCAAAAACGCCGTCTACATCTGATAGCGTCATACAAGCCAGGTGCACAAAACAGAGAAGCGGACTTCCTCTCTAGAAAATCTCTAGACTCTTCTGATTACTCTCTTGAAGAAAGAACGGTAAAGTCACTCTTTACCAAATGGGGAACACCGGAGATAGACCTATTTGCCTCCAGATGGAATAACAAATGTCAGAAGTATTACTCATTTTTTCCAGACCCAGGTGCACTTGGCACAGACGCCTTCGCTCAAAAGTGGTCGGAGACTTACGGTTACGCATTTCCGCCATTCAATTTAGTGGGAAGAACGATCAAAAAAGCTCTGAGAGAAAGGGCACGCTTAATTTTAGTGTGCCCGAAGTGGGAAAATCAGAGTTGGTGGCCTCTCATAATGGAGCACGGCAAGGAGATCACGCCACTAATCTCGAATCAGAATCTATTGAAGGATTCGAGTTCTCCACACCCATGCCTCAGATCTCCCAGGTTTCGTTTGATAGCATGCACCATCTAGGTGAGTTCTGGCGAGACGGAGGCCTTGATGAAATAGTCGTGCATTCTATAATGTCGAACTGGTCCCGCGCAACCATTAAACAATACGATAGTGCCTTAAAAAAATGGGCAACCTTCTGCAAGATCAGAAGGATAGACAGGCTGCACCCCAAAGTGGAAGACATCTTAAACTTTCTAGGACAGTTATTCAAATTAGGCGCAAGTTTTTCATCGATCAGCACTCATAAATCGGCTCTAATCGTATATCTTTCAACGATTAACGGGGATCTCCAAAGACAAGACATGACTCTTATAAGTAGATGCATGAAAGGGTTTTACCGACAGAGACCCCCTCGGGCTAGATACGTTGACATATGGGACGTATCAGTGGTGCTTGATTACCTGAGATCCTTGGGACCTAATGCATCGCTGAGCCTAAAACAGCTCACTCAAAAAACGGTAATGCTATTAGCCCTAGTGGCCCCCAAACGGGTTTCCGAACTAGCAGCATTATCGTTGGATTCTGTTCAATTAGGCGAAAACTCATGGGTTTTCTCCCTCGATTTCGTCAACAAGAATAGAGGATTTGGGAAAGCACACACAGCAGTAGTGCACGCCTACAATGAAGATGTCCTCCTATGTCCCCTTGTGACGATTAAAGATTATATAAACCGCACTATCTTATACCGTCACCAAGCGCGGACATTATTCCTAAGTACAAATAGCCCACACCGAAGTGTCTCGTCCACAACCATAGCTCGCTGGCTTCGAGAAGTGCTCAAAAACTCGGGAATAGATGACCGATTCAAGGCACACTCAACCAGGGCGGCAAGCACAACATCTTCCAAAAGACAGGGTCTCTCTTCAAAGGCCATAATGGAAGCTGCGAATTGGGCACCTAATGGAACCACCTTTGAAAAGTTTTATTACAAAGGTCCATCACAACAAACGTTTCAGAACTCGGTGCTCTCTTCGAATAGGTGTGTTGAAAAAGCACTGTAATTGATAGTAGCAGTGTAATATAATATTATATTTTCCTAGACAACTTGTTGTCGAAGTAAAATATTTATTATATTTAACTGCGAATATCAATTACACTCCCACCCTAATTAGCTGCCCCCCCTTATGTTGACTCCAATCGAAGATATCACCTCGTTGGTTTCAGGAAATCCAAGAGGACTTCGGATGGAAGAGAAAAAGAAGCCGAAAGACGCAAAAAGCCTAAGGATCACAGGTCAAAGAAAACGCACGCTTCGAAGAAGTGAAAGCGTACAAGAATGCCTTACTATCCTTACGACTCGTTAATTGTTACTTGTTAATTGTCACGTCGTAACACTCTAATAAAAAAGTTGGACGATGTTGCGAGCTTAACCACACCCTCCTCTCATCAAGACGAATGAGATGGCAAGGTACAGGGACGCTTGGGGCATGCGCGAATTCCCGCGCGAATTGAATTATTGATTGATCTACTTGATCAAGATCAACTTGAGGAGAAGCTCAGCACGGCGCGCTAAAGCACTGTAATTGATATATACGCAGTTAAATATAATAAATATTTTACTTACTAATCAACAATAATTGTAATTAGAGAAAAAATATAAATGATTATAAAATGTAGAAGAGTACCGGGAAGGGTATAGTAATGATATTTATCTTCCATCGGAGGGGGCCAATGATCTGGCTACGGCTTAAAACACCCAGATTATACACAAATAGCTGTTCGCTCCAAAGGTAAATCATAGTATCCTTAATCGATGTATATTTATTTCAGTTCACTTTTTTCTATACAAGGGAGTTTCGTCATCTAAGTGACTAATTTTTACTAGGGAAGTGCCAATAACAGAAGGGACATTTTGTCAAAAAACATACATGGCAGAATAAGATATTAATACACACAATATTACAATCACAGCTCAAAACGAATAAGATAACTCACACTCATTGATTTGAAAGAGGCCTCTCATTATATTCATAAAAAAAATCTTCATAGCAGCCATCTACGTGGACGGCATCAGATAAAATGTTTCCCCGGAAACATGGTGCTCTGGTCGAACTCAATGGGGTTCTCGACTGATCGTGTACCTTTACGACGGGTTCTGAAGGGCGGGTTCCGAGGGGGTTTGCACAGTCAGAGCTAAAGACCCTAAGAACTATCCCACGTTGCATCATTCGAAGAAATTATGTAAGCGCTTCAGGCTAAGCAGTTACTGTAGACCTCTTTGAGCTCGACGACAGATGACGTCATATTCTGAGGACAGTGAGGGTAGGTAGTGTAGGAAGGCCTGCGTTGTTATAGAGCGGACAAGTAGAATAGTTTCTATGAGGAAATTTCCTCAGGTCTCTGCGAAGAAAAAGGGGTCGAAGGGCGACATGGGCAAAATGTCTTCTTTGCCCTCCCCCCCCGTGTATGATGTATTTGAAAGGGAAAAGTTTGTGTGTCCGTGACCGCACAGTGATTTAGGTTTCACATAAATTTTATGGAAAGCACTCATGGATTCATGCTTGTTACAAAGACTTCCTATTTTTGTCGTCTTCACTGTAATATAGTTTTCCTTAATGTTTTGATGTGATTTGCATCGACAGAGAAAGGTCATTGACAGCGCATGCAATTAAAGTGTCATCCCACACAGGCAACTCTGCATATGTGCGAGGCAAGGTGCGAGGTAGATGGAGGTGTGAAATCTTGATCAAACGTCACATACCCCCCCCCCCCGGCCCCCCCCCCAGGGAACTATACGCTACGCCCACCCCGTTTGTCCTGGACATTTCAAGATGATTATTATTGAATTATTTTCCCACGGGTGACTCCTTGGCCACATTTCCAATTAAAATCATAAATAAAGCGGCAAGTCACATAATAAGTGAGTTATGGTCTCCCTATGAACACGGTCCCACAGGGACCAGGAATTCCTCCATTTAATTTGCCCTTGGTGTCAAGGCGGAGGGCGGTAGAGACCAGGATAAGAAGAACGAGAGCGCTTTCGCGTTCCTACCCTCGCGACACGGTCAAGAAAGTCTGGTACCTGTTCCATGTTTTTGGAAAGCATATAGCGCAAGTTGCACTATTTATTTGATTAGTTTATTCAAGACGGTTACATAAGGTGAGTGTGAAAAGAAGACAACAATGTGCGTGTACTAATAATCATCAAATACGGACTTATCAGCTCAGGCAGCAAAGGGAGGAGACTCCAGGTCTGATATGATTTGGTATTCTCCCCAAGCTCCTGCTTTCTTCTGGGGCTTTCCTAGAGAGCCCCCTCTTTAGCGAAGGAAGCGCTTCGAATGGATACTATTGTGCGCGTGACTGATGACTGTTCCACAATCCTGCTCTTTGGTAGCGGATGGTTTGTGACGATACTGCTCCAACCCAGTTGACCGTTCACAAAGCACGGGTACGGAGGACAGCCGCGAGCCTGCTTATCTGCCAGGGGACATTGAATCTGCCGACGCCGACAAGGTCTGCGTCTCTGGACAATCGGACCGGGGTGTTGGTCAGCGTCACTTGAAGACGGGGATTTCCACGCCATTTTTGTTTTTATGCAAAATCGAGTTCCAAACTCGCTCGTGCTCTCTCTGATAGTCTTATAATCTGCGTTGTAGCCCTATCAGTTGGCATTTTAAGTCGTTAATCTCAAGAGCTCAGCATGACAAAGTGAAGTTCATTTTCAGTCTGTATTGCAGTAAACCACTCCATCTCTACACCCACTGACAGCGCCCGACTAAGACTGCTTTGTTAGTGATGGACGTACAAGGCAGGGTGTGTTGGTTGTGGTCCCGCTGGTTTTAACCCCTCCCCAGAATGGTTCTTTATAGCTGAGATTTCAGAGAACCACAAGAGCACTTTCAAATGTCAACGAGAATGTAGTGAAACGAACAGCAGCTGGGAAGGACGCTTTATTGACAAGAAGACCAGCACTCAAGGATCAACGAAATGGAGCCAATATTGTGGTCAGTTCGGGTTTTTGCATCAGCTCTCCCTTCGGAATGCTTACATACACTTATTCAGGCCACCGAAACAGGAGCTAAGCCCATAGCACGGGCTACTAGGTCAGTTGCTGTGAAAAACAATGTAGTCCAACCTCAACAGAATCAGCAGAAGAAGGTTTGCTCGCTCATTTTCGGTTTGGAGGATTGCGTCTGTTAACTTACTTAAACCACTTCAGGAACGACTTCCAGACAAAATCCACCCAGAAGTTATCGGTATTGATCGGGAAATTCAGTACGTCGAGTACTGTGATCAGGTAGAAATTCTTTGCTATTCTACGTTCCATGAGAAGTTTGAATCTTACAGACCAACTCCCCAGGGAGTGTAGTGAAACTCAGGAAGACCTATTCCAAAAATACGCACCTCCAGTTACTCATTGTGGTTCCTGAAAGCATCCTCCTCAAAATCTGAGGTGGGCGCTCATGTCGTTGGGTGGGGACGGGGGAGAGGACGTTGAGGTGGACCGCTAACAGTACTTGGGCTTAAGCCTTAGGGAGGAGAAAGGATTCTGGAGGAGGATGTGAGCAACTTTCGTTTTCTCTGCATTCTGCATGTCCCCCCTCCCTGTGTGTCTTTAGATTAATGATTCTAAGAGAACATTTCCGCAAAAGGAAACTACTGAAGCTTTACTTGCGTTGCAGAATCATTGCTACCTAATGATCCTCTTGAAATAAAGTTATGCATTGAAAAGTAAAACTTCACTCTCACCACCGAAAAGCTGCTAACAAATGCAGTGTTTTGAATTTGCTCGAGAAATTGCATTCCTCAGAACATGGCTTTGTCTGCCCCTTGTCACTTCTCTCGATTAGAGTAGGGTTTGGAGCTGTGGATTAGTTAGCATCATGTAGTGTTTCCATTTCATTTTGAACTGGGTTTAAGGAGCACATT